GGGGGGGGGGGGGGGGAGGTCGGCGTCGGCCAACAAGCTGGGCTCATTTCACGCTAAAGCGTACCCGGCAAAGTCACTCTCTGACCAGGGTATTGAGTTGTATACCCAACACGACACAGTTAAGTCACCCGCGCGCGTGGCTGCCCCACTCTATTTAAAAAAAACTGTGGAACATACGCGAGATGTCGGTTTTTCCTCATCGTGCACCGTTCCCCGGCTGATCAGTTCAAAGATGTCAGTTTTCGCTGGAATAAAACCCCTGCAGCTCCTCAACGAAAATACAATCGTTAGTGGGCTGTATATCCTGCGTGCCCCGCTGACGGCGTGTGTGAGCCACACACAAAAGCATCACACATCCAGGAGTGCGGACATCTACCATGAGACCACCACAGGGTAAACTATGACACTTTTGTTTTTCTTTTGCCTTCACTGCAAGTCAGTGCTCACAGCACTGGTGCCGGTTACTCCAACCCGTGGTCACACAGAACAGCCTCTCTCTACTCTCCCCTCCTGCGGTACTTTGCCTTCGATTATTAATGCCAGAAGAGTTCAGCACTCTCTTCCCTCTGTGTACACACGAACTAGTGCTATCCACTAGGCCAGGAGCGGAAGCGAGAAAAAAACTCACCTTGCAAGACAGCTCGCTTACGCCGGGATTCGAACCCCTGACCTGACCTCTAGAAGGTTTCGAGGATACCAACTAGACCACCGGGGCGACCGCACTGTCCTGGGCTTGTACAGCAAAGGCAGGCTTCGGTTGCATCTCGGTGTGTGTGAGTGTGTGCGAAATGCAATTGAGTGCGTTTCGCGTCATGCTCCGAGATGTGGGCATGACGGGTTCCCTCTGATCTAACTGAAGGTCGATACAACAGTCTAGACGCTGGGGGTGTGATATCACGGGTGTATGATAAGATAGGGTGTGACATTGCCACCCGTGGGATGAATTGAGCCCACATGATCCCACTTGCAGGGGGTATGATAACAGGGGGATGTGAAAAAATATGGGGTGTGATAAGGTCACCCGTGGGATGAATGGGCCCAAACGACCCACGGGAGTGTTAACCATGGGGTGTGATAGCGTTCTACGCACGTGCCATGGGCGGACTACAGCAGTTGCACGAGCGGTGCCAGGCACAGCAGGGGTTACGGCGGGAGTGTTACCAATAGGTTCTGCTGCGCGGGCCTTAGCAGCATGGGAGGTGTAAGGCACAGCGGGTGCTGCTGTGGGAGTCTCAGGGGCCACAGAGAAATATCACGCAATTGGGCCTGGCGCCGCCGCTGGAGTCTGAATCACTGGAGTCTGAGCCGCGATGCTGGCAGCGGTGTTGCGTGCTTGGTTCATCTCTGCGGTGTTATCGGTCGCCATAGCTCTTGCGTCCTCTTCGATTTGTCACGGCCTACTGCACCGGGGCTCCGTGGATACATGTTTGCAGCTCAACTTAAGGGGTGTAGTATCCTTGTGACCGTGTGATGTATCGGTGATTACTTCCAAGCAAAAAAAGACGATGTCACACGGGTTGTGGTTTTCTGTATATGTGTATTGGGGGTGTGGTATATTGTGTCCCCTGCGGTGTATTAGACTAGACCTGGTCTTCTGGAGGAGGGGAGGAGTTGACACTGACCCAGGGAAAACAACAGTCGAAGCACACAGCAGGAAATGCTCTGGTCAAATAGTGCCTCAGCGGGCCAAAACGTGTGATCAGCCTGGAATTAACCTACTAAGCAGAGCTGATTGGTCGACACCCACTTTCACCCTGCCGTGTCGCGCAAACGCCCGGGGTACATCCGACAGCGACGTTTTCTCGTTTGTTGACGTCTGTGGTACCGCCCTGACGAGATATTGGCTTTCCATTGACCATTTTCGACCCAGAAATCACTCCAATCGACACCGAAGCACTAATCGTCGTGCTCCAACAAACACGTGATGGCAACCCAAATGCCAAATTTGAGAGACACGCTCCATTGTTGCATTCAGCATCGTTGAACACAGCGTGTTTGACATGCCGGCTGACGCAGAACATTCATGACGCATGCCAAAAGAGCAATGGGTGAAGGTGTGATGGCAGAGAGCGGTAAAGAAAGGTGTGATGGCACACGTATTAAAGGAACCACCGTGAAAAGGAGAGAGTGAGGGGGGAATAGTTACGGCGGTAGAGGTCTCCGTGAATGCTACGTCATGGCAGTGAAGGCTGGTCAAACATTTTCAACCTGACAGCTGCAATATTGATAGCCAGGCTGCTGGAACGAAGGCCGCCGGAAGCCAAAAACCTGTTGATCGATGGATTTTCGTAGGTTGTG